TATATATATTATAGTACAGTAACTCGGGAAAACTATTGTATTAATTGAAAAGTACTTAATTTTCGTAGTGCGTTGCGTAATTTCCGCAAACATACATTAGTGCTACTAGAGCATAATAAAGATATGGCAATGCTGGCGCGTTTTCAACTACCTCAATATCCCATCGTAACCCGCACCGAGGCCCACGTGGTTCACTCCAGCTATTCGTCTGATGTGATTGATGTGAGCTGTAAAAAGAGACGGCGTTGTGTCTCGTTCCCTATCTCTGAGTTTTTGACGTTTACTACTATTTCAATCCTCGATCTCTTTTTGATGTTTCTAACGCCGCGCTACTTACGCACCTATAATGTCGTACATGGAGGCCTTATCGCTGCAGCTCAAATGCGCGCTGTCGAAACTGACCATAACCAGACCACCATTGAGAGACTGGAGGAAGCAGAGATGAAAGCTGCGCGATTAATCCTTGGGAAAACATTGTGTCACCGCGATAAACACTTAGGTAATAATGAAACATAATTTTTTTTGCTTTTCCACGAATTAATTAAAGATAAATGTTTAAATAAGAATAAATTCTTACAAAAATATTATCTACATTCCTATCAGGAAAACAAATAAAAGCTACAATTTACAATAATGTTTGTATTCAAAATCGGAAACAAGAAGGGGAGTAAATTTTAAATATTCAAAAGAGAACAATTCATTCAACGCAAAAAATCAACGTAAAAAATTGCTATTTATGATAACAGAATTGATAAACTCTTCCTCTTTTCCTGAAAAAATTCTGGATACGCCCATAAAATTAAATAATATCTTTCTACTTCTCTAATTTATTTCTACGAATCATCATTTATACTTTGCTCATCACAGCGGTTTCGAGACACACATAATTTTTTGTTAAATATGCATGTGTAATAGTCATCCGTATATATAACTTCCACAGAAGAAGTTTTTTCTTCCTTACCAAATTTCGCAGCACATCATCTGGGACGTTACTCGAGGAATTGCAGAGAGCCTTGGCAGCGCTATGTGAGAATATAACGGGCGCCTTTGTCACAGCAAGGGCGTCCTTCATCGTCCTCACCGAGACGTGAGAGAGATCCACAAGCATACCGAGCCGATTCAGCTCTCGGACGACCATCTTGCCGAACGGCGAGAGACCGTCGCTGTGAAAATCAGAGGGTGTTTCCGAATTTGGATCGTCTACGGAGCATGAATCCGCCCTAGAAATCAAAATCAATATTCGGATATTCAATATTACAATTCTTAAAAAATCCAATAAAAAAAATGCCGACACAATTAAGATTTATTTCAAATGCAAATGCGAAATTTCCATGCAGCTACTTCCTTTCAGAACCAAGATGTCACTTATCTGTATTTAAGCTAATCGCGCTCGGCATAAGATGTAATAAACTTCTAGGGACTTATTAGGCTCTCTTCGAACAATTAATCTAAACACAAAGTACTACAGCGATGTGAAAGCAAACGTTAGCACAAGATGCCAATTTGCTCCTCCAAGGTTCATTCCTTTCCGCTGTCATTACCGCGCGCAACGCTCATGTGCACGTCTCGCGAGCGTAGAGACGTTAATCTTCCCAAGCAGCGGTCAAACTCACCACGGAGTATTGCACTTGTGGGTCAGGGTCATGTAGCGTGCGCCCAGCCGATGGAAGCTCCTCAGCACCGCCATGGAGGTGCCGATGCTGTGGCCACCCTCTATGCCCACCAGGCTGGCGATCACCCCGTCCCGATGTGCGTTCTCCAGCTCGCTGCTCGTCTTCACCAGCCGAACGCGTTTGGGGTAGCGTGACGTGAGCCGGCGTACGATGTCGATCTGCTCAAGGGTGAGTTGCACGGCATCGAGGAACTGGGCTTCGCATGGTACGTAGGCCGACCAGAATTGCGCCCCGACGATCCCCTGCTCCAGACGGATCAGGTCGGTCTGCCATTGCGGACCCCAGCTGCTGTTGCGCGACAGATCCTCGTCGAAGGGAAAGTTATCCAGCTTCGTGCTGCCGCGGTGCTTGCGCAGGTTCCAGGCGAAGTCGTTGTGTCTGACGAATGATTCATACAAGATGATAAATGCAAATTATAATTTCGATGTACAGACATATTTTTTTCTATTGTATTTTTTTCTTTTTGATTAAAGATTTAGGGATAGAACGTAATTTGTCGTCTTATTTTAAAGCTTTAATTGATATTAAAAATTTGGAATTTCTCTAAGATTCCGAATAATCGCGGTCGATTATTTTTAGCAATTTTCTTCTTAGTACTATTGCTCGTGGTGACTTTTCTCATATGCCTATGGTGCGCATGCTGCTTGTACACAGTCATATGGGAGTATGGGACCTACTCTAGTTTAACGTCGATTCCGAACGACAAAATGGTAGAAAAGTTTCCAGGGCAAGTATACTACTTGGTAGTTTGCCATTTACCTTGTGAGAGGAGCTAATTGCTAATAATTGCGTCGAACCCGGGATCTCTATAGTATAGCAGACCAGTGCGCTGTCTGCTACGCCACGCTCGCGCTCATTTTTAGCGATAAGTATATTTTAATTCGGAGTAAAATCTATTTATATATAGAGCTAGAAGTATTTTCCTTTTATAAATAAAATACAACTGTTACCCATCGATCAGTGGAATCTCTGAAAGCATTCTTCGGACCACCTGTAGTCTAGCTTCCAGCAGATGAGAACTTCGAAGTTCCAAAGCTAAAGGCAGACCTACTCCAGCCACTAAGGCACATCCGAGGAAGAAGAATCCAGTCATTACCATCCATCTTCTCACTGCACTGCCTCCTACAACATTGACCGATATCAAAATCAGCAACCTGGAATATTATATTCATTACACACAAATATTAGCATGTTAAAATTAGAATATTATATAGATTCAAAAGCAGCCTATTGCAGCGGAAACCATCGGCGAAACGACATCGGCCACAGCAGAATCTTCTCGGATCGGGAAGACCAGCCGAGCATAGATCGTATCTATCCGTACGTGAAATCACCATGACTGAAACTTTGATCTGTGATTGAGGAGATCGCCGAGCCGTAAATAGAAATCATATCAAATCACTCGCCACTCGTCGTTCCTCGTCGCGCGACAGATTTTTCTTCCCTTCGCTCGCAAATGCTTTTACATAAGCGAGCTCGCTGACGTGCAAAATTGGAGAAAAGAAAGAAACTGTTGAAACTGTCGCGTTCGACCATCGGAAACGACCGGGGATGATGGGATAATCGAGAAAGTACTCGGCAATCGAGCGCAACCCGACGAATTAAATCCGTGCTAATTTGATTTTACTAGTCGTCACTTATTCTGATGACTGTAATTATAATTGCTATTATTAGATATAATAATGCGAGTATAATAATGCAATAGTATAATACATTTATGTAGAAATGTAGCTAATTTGAGAGAAGATCCGTATCTCAATCTTTATACACATATATTAAAATAATAGTTGTCTATAATAATGCACTAAGATTTAACTTGTTATAAAATTAATTAAATACTCAGAATGTATCTTTCACACTTAATTCTAACATAAAATTTTCTATACGAGACTGTTATATGAGAATGTTATAATTTTTTAAAAGTACGAATCTTTTTACGTCGATAGAACGTAAAATAATTTTTAGTTTTAATCTTATCCTCTACAATATGACAATTTTTGCTTTACTCCCTCAGAGTGTATTAAGAAATTACAAAAATAAAAAATACTTTTTATACTTAAAGTTCTCCATACTTATAAGGATTCTTATAATTTCTTACAAATTTAGTTTTTGCAAGACAGAATATAAACTGAAATATTATATCACACTGAACCTCTCAAGTATTCTAATTTTATCCTGTGTGCAATAATGACTTATATGGACATACTCACTGCTCTCTCTTGATGGTTCTTTGGCCTTGTTGAAGGAAGTCGAGACACCCGTGTCCTTGATGTGGTGAAGTGCATCGCCGTTGGGCAATTTTCTCATGAATTCTGGAGACGAGAGCTGCAGGCAGGTCTGCAAAAGCGCGTTGATTTACAAAGCTAGCAATCCGAGCAATCGTCTCCGTAAATTAAATTCTAAGATTGCAACGATTGCATAATCTCTGCGTATTATCCGCATTGCGCGAATCGTCGCGTTTACGCCGGTATTAGCGGCTCGTAAGTTATTATGAAAGACGCGTGTATCGTGAAGAAAAACACGTCTGCCTTGAGAGAAGAAATAAAAATTGAAAACTACTTTGCATGAAACATCCCTGCAAGACGATTTTCGCAGTCGATTGTAAAAATAACATCAACGTGAATCAACATTTCGAGAAGTTTACGCAAATTATCTCGTGACGTCGTCCCGCCAATCAAACATATAGCACTTATCGTAAAGTCTGATTCTATTTTTTAAATAGAAACTAACTGTGCGTAATTGGAACCATCTTCGGAGCTTTATCTTGAAAACATCTTTTTAAAAGGATGTCGTTTTGCTTATAGAAAAACATTCATAAATGAAAAATTTTGATTAAAAATTATTAATCAGTAAATACCAATTAACAATAATACAACAATGTTATAATTTCCTATTCAATAATGTAACTGTTATTACAATATGTGTTATACATTACATTTATGTTGTTAAATGAAAAATTATAATATTGATGTAACGTTACTGTTAGTCAATGTTCATTGGTTTGATTGATGTTTACAAAGATTCAAAAAATATAGAACATATAATATAAATATAATATATCCATATATATAAGCAATATATATAAGAATATATTCATAGGAATTGTTAAGAAGCGCTTCTATATACATTGTTTTCCAACTTTCTCCATTATGTCACGAAATAAAATAAATAATATCTCGGAGAGGTGTTGTAGACAAGCTCAATTCACCTTTGCTCCAGAAAAAAAGTCAAGCTAAGAACGACACGCGTAGCATCCCCGTGTGTGTGTATGCGTGTGTGTGCGTGCGTGGGCAGCTCGATCATTAATTATATATAGGAGGTAAATAATATATATTTCAACGGATACTCTCTGGGGATATCCTCAGACTCGTAGACAAGTTAATTAGGAGACAACTCTCTCCTCGACACAATTAACGAATTAGTAGGATATTTAGCTGGGCTTACCGTCCTACCTACCTCCGAAAGGATGTCGACTTCCTTTCTCCTGGGAGGCGGTGAGTGATACACCATGCCATCCTTACCGACACCGTAGAGTTCAAACATCTTTCTCTCCGACGTCCTTTCGTCCGTTCTTTACCCTTGCGCCAGGGTTTTTGCTGGTACCGCCGCTATCGTAAATACGGAGGGAACGGCGTCCCGACGCGGCGTCGAGCCTCGGCGCACGCGTCAACCCCATATCGATCCGGTCTTGCGCGAGTCTGAAAAATTATTAACAATCGTCGAGATGTTGCATCGAGAATGTTGCTTGTCAACTCTCTACGCCACGTAACTTGGAAATTACATTTAATTAAATTTAAAAAAATATTTGTACTCTCTTCTCTTAATTATTATAATATCTCAATGAGTATATATCTTAATTAATATTCCCCGTTTACCAATCGCAATAATTTATTTTTTTTTTATAAGCAAAAGGAAAGAATTCGGTTATAAAAAAATTAACGCATGAATAAATATTATAACAATATTTATTCATCCGTATAACAAATCAAACTAACCAAGACTCCTTATAAATCAAAGAACTGGAAAGGATACGGGCAGTAAAATAGACGTGTTTATCGATTACTTTTCAACTTTCTTGTTCTTGGAATTGATTAACATTTTTCCATCTGTTATCTTGGAAAATTACTAGCTAAAAAAAGTGACTCACTGTGTCTCATACTGACTGGCCAACACTATCAGGAGCCGGTTCTTGAATTATTTTTATAGTAATGTTTGCGACATGGTGCTCTGTGAGTATGGTGAGCGTCTTATATTTGCTGGATAATTAATTATAATCTTAAAGTTGTTTGATATAAATTAGTCCTCTATATTCTATTTTACGATATTTCCTCATTTCTTTTCTTTTTTTCTTTTCCTTTTTCTTTCACTCTTTTTGGTTGTAATTTAAATTCTCGGTGTAGGGGAGCTCACCAAGACAGGATAACTTTTATTCACAATTTTTATATATGTTAGTTTATGCTGTCTCTGAGGCAGGCTCAAAACATGAGCCGAAATATGTAAGCGCGTTTTAGTGAATAAAAAAGTTTCACATTTCATAGGTATACGAGTATTATTTGCGCGACGTCTTCTGCGCTTGACTCCTACTGTCCGTATCCTTTCCAATATCTATTTAAAATATATATATATACAACATTGAATAGACTATATATAATATAACCACAACTCCAAGTTTAATATTATAAAGGAGGGAGAGGGAGGGGTCAGTGAAAAATAAAAATTATTACGTACACTTATTTTAGTTTGATATACATGAAAGAAAAGATTCTATCAGAGACAATGAATTATATATAGTTAAAAACTTTGCTTTGAATATTTCTGCCGATTAAGTCAATAATAATTTGATCAAGGTCTTTCCAAGCAGAATAACATGTTCTGTTTGTTTAATAATTATTTTAGAATTATTTTAATATATCATTATGATTGTTTGTCCTGCTCGAGTCTTTTTGTTAGTTTAATATACATATACGTATAATAAAAGAAGAAATTACAACTTAATTAGCTATACTGTATAGTATCGATATTGAAAAAAATGATAAAACAATGAAGACAATGATGAAAAGACCAATTGAGATAACTAAATAAATAGAATATCTCAACAAAAAATAATTGATCGAATCGATGCTGATACAACATCGATCAATCAATCGCTTCTGGGAGTTTATTGTATAATATTTTGAAATGAGAGTGATATATGAAATTATAAATATTTTAGTAAATATTTGCTAACTTTTGTCATTTTCACCTCATTTCAGGAGTGCGTTCCGTTTCACGCGTAAATGTGTCATTTTATCATTTTTTAATATTTAATGAAGAAGAAAATGAAATGATACATATCATGTGTGAGAAACGAAACGTATTTCAGCACAAGATACGCATTCAACCACCTACACATAAGATTGCAATGGACCGTCATGAGGGGGAGGTGGGGGGGGGGCTTTTAGTTTATTATTCTAGCTTTAGCCTACAACTGACATCTCTGAAATCTTAGAAAATACGCGTAAACTTCAATCGAAAATGATATACCTCGAAATCGATTTGTTCTTTGATATCCTGACTAAAATGTTCCATCCTCCCGCGCTCGAGCGTCAGCGAGTGTCAGCCGCGGAGTGGTGCTTGTGACGTCACTGTGAGGCGGCAGGCGATTGTATATGTTGTACATGGTGCTGCCATCGGGAGACAGATTCCGCAGCCACGGCGCCACGCCGTCCATGCGAATTCGCGATAATAAAGGGAGCGTTCCTCCTCCCTCCTCCCTTACCGACCGCCATATTGTTTGCGATATTCCGTGTGTTCCGTGTTGTACGCACGTTCCTCCGGTTGAGGTTCCTCACACTTTTTTCTCAGCAGCGCGTGTCACCCGCGTAACGTTCTTCTCGCGGACAGTGTTACGGAAAATCGGCAAACATTTCGCGCAAGGACAGCATGAAGAAGATCAAGGATTACTCGGACGAGGACGATTACGAGGTGGACGATCCGGATTATCCGGAGGTCGAGGGCGCCTCCGAGGAGGAGTGGACTCCGGAGGCCGGGACCGAGGTAAATTAACACGCCGCGCTTTCACTACATTTTTTTTCATCCTGTCACGCCCACGGAAGAGGATGGCTAATTTTCTTTTTTTCTTTTTTTTTTCTTTTTTTTTCTTTTTTTTTTTATCATGTTTGTATCGTTTGCGCGATGAAGGACGCTCGTTTGAGAGGAGAAAAGAGAACGAGAGCGAGCGAGAAGAAAGAGAGAGATGGTGAGAGCGATCGACTCCGATGCTCCGGCGGAATTTCGCCGTAACTTAGCTGCTCCAGCCAGAAACGAGAAATGCTTGTCGCAGAATTCGCGCTTCTTACGGCTTTTCCTCCCGACGAATCGGACTCGCGCCAAGAATGCGCTAGGTAAAACGATACCAGTGTATTGCGAGACCGTGACGGAGCGAGGCGTCGGCGGCGGACGATATTGGCTGATGTGTTCCCCCTTGTGTCGCGGGCGCGGGAAGAAACTCGCTCGAGGTAAGATCCTCGGCGTCGAGTCCGCTTCTGAAACCACGACGTGTGGTTTCCCATACGGCGACCCGGTCGCGCTGTCCAGACGTATCTTTCGAGATAGAGCCATTCGTCTAGCACGGTCTCTTCTCGTCTCGCATTGCTTCGCGACGGCCATCGTCGCCGGCCGGTTGGTTCAGTTGGTTGGTCGGTTGCTCATGGCGCCGGTGGCGCCGCACCCGCGCCGCTCGGCAATATTTCAAATCACCAGTAATCACCACTTCGCCAGAAGAGAATATGTATGTACTACGGACTACGGTACTACAATCTGGTTCCACATAATGTTAATAACTTCAATCCCGATTCAATTTATTCTTCATTCTTTTCCTAATTCTAAGAATTAGAAGATTTAACATTAGAAAAAGATAAACAATAAGTTAAACCGAGATTGAAGTTAATTTTGGCATCGGTAGAACCGGACCTACCGTACTGTCCGTTTCTACAAATATGTAAATTGACTTTAATCTTGATGACTTTAACTTACTTTTTATCTTTTTCTATAGTTTTAAAAATTAGATAAGAGAATGAAAGAGTAAATTAAATTGAGATTGAAGTTAATCATCTACATTAGTAGAAATGGACGTCCGACTGCTTGTCTCTTTGATACCCGTTTCTATCAATGTAGATTAACTTTATCTCGGTTCATCCTTTCCTAATTTTCGGAATTACAAAAAAGTAGAGTTAGTGAACCTAAATTAAAATTAGACTACACTGGTAGAAGCGGACAAGCAAGGTTTCGAACTAAATTCTGATTAGCTTAATCGGTGATTGTTTCAACTGACAGAATTGTTTAAAGCGAATTTTTTCTAATTTTTAAGGATCCCGCATAAATTATATGGTTACAAATTATAAAGTAGTTTCAGTCGAATTGGCTGAATATTTTATGTATTGCAGTTCTCGTCATTCCGAACAAATGTGCACATTGAGACATGACGACAAGCTCAGAATGACAAGAACTTACAACATCAAGAATTCAACCAATTCGACTGAAACCACTTTTGCACATGATTTGTGCGAGGTTCTTTCTGAATGTAATTGCCAATCTAATCTTTTTCTTGTTAAATATGTTAAATTATTAATAGTTCTATCTAAGTAGTAGAAAAAATATTACTTGATCAGTACTTAATCAAAATTACTCTAATGTTTACCCTCTCTCCCCCATGTAGATTAATTTTAATTTTTGTTCAACTTACTCTTTATTTTTTCCTAGTTCTAAGAATTAATTCCGAGATTAAAGTTAATCTACATTAGGCACCAGAAAACCATATCAAACATTTTTCAAGATATCTTCTTGTTAATTGTTAGACATAGTTTAGTTTGTTACGTTAATGAACTAAGGGATGTTCACATAGTGTTATATATTTCTGACTTAAATTGTATATTTTTCTATCATTCGTTTTAAACTTTCGTGGAAGCATGATTATTATGAATGCGATTAAAAGTATATAATAAAGAAAGAAAGAGAAAATATTTAATTTTGATATATTATTTGTGATTTTTTTAATAGGCTGGCACTAAAATAAGGCCACAGAGAGGACCAGGAAAAAAGCGACAGCACTCTGAAGAGGAGGACGAAGAGGAAGAAGAAGACTTCGAAGAGGATGAAGAGGAAGAGGAAGAGGAATCTGATTCTGATACAGGAAAGAAGTCAAAGAGGAAAAGGCGCTCTAAGAAAGACGATGATGAAAAGGAGGATGAGGAAGATGACGATTCTGATGACAACAGTTTCAACGAATCTGGAGAGACTCCAAAAGAATACACAGTAAGTCATTGGGCAATGATCGATATTCAGTCGAGTATAATAAACTTTCAAAAAAATGTCCGTCTATATCATTAATGTTTCTTGCAGTCTGGTTCATTCGTTCTTTTAAAAGCTGACGTTGAATCTAATAAGAATAAAGAAAATAACTTATCCAGTAAGGGTAAATCCGATGTGGAATCAAGCACTTATCCAACCTTGTGGAGGATAGATGGAAAAGCATTGCTCCAAAAGTTTCTACCTTTCAAGGAAGATGGGAAAGTACTGTACAGAAGTACAACGACAGTAAGTGCATTGTTTTTTTTTTTTTTTTTTTTTTCAGAATAAAAAATAATATATTCTAACATTCACTAAATTGACCTAAATTTAGTTGCATTAGTCGATATTAGATAAAAAGAAACTTGTGGTGCATAAATCTCACTTAAATTATATTTATAAATATAATTTACAGAAATTACATTACATTTCAGTATTCTGGTTGGCAACAGAGTAACAAAGACCAATACATAGCGGTCCACGTGTCCTTTAAAGTGCAAAGTAGACAAGAGACAATTGTTGAACTTCATTTTGATCCATCGCAACCACAAGAAGTTGTAAAGTACGTAAATTGTATTGTTGCTCGCATTGCGATCTACATTGTTGCAGTATGTATGTATAACGTGATTACTGTTAACAAATTTCTTTTTATTAATTTCAGGGATGATAAAGAAGATTAAATTAGATCGAGTTTGCTCTTATTTGTTTATATACGTCTTAAGGAAACATATGTTATAAGGAAAGAAAAGACGGAAACATCCACATGTACACTATTCACGAAACATATATATTTACACACTGTACACATACACATGGATGATGTTTGACATGGTACTGTAGCAGGTTCATATTTAAAATATAAGATTGGATGGACCATGGCTCTGAGTTTATTACTGGGGGTAGTTTAGCTATAATTGATATCCCTGACAGAATATACATGTGAGCTTATCAAGAAATCTACTCGCTACATGCATCGTATTTACGGAGTTTAGTAACGCAGAACTACTCGATAATTTACGAATGTTTTATCTTCGACAGAAATTCAATGTTACCTAGCATAAAGGATGCATGTTGATGTTCGATTTTGTTTATGATGTCACCGTTAGTCTGTTTGTGATTTAAACTCTACAAACGCTGCATTGGCTTTGTCATTTATGCAGCCATTTCAAGCGCGCCCGTAGTGAGAAATAAATGGAACTATTAATCTAGTCTGATATAGTAAAAAGAAAAACAATTTTATATTTGAATAAATGCAAAGAAACAGCTTAAATTGAGTTACGTAAATTATTTGATTATAAACGATTAATATATATCTTCTTTTGATTAGATCTATCACTAGAAAAAATGCTAGTTAATATCCAATTGATATAAATAAAGAACTCTACAAGAAATATTTCTTACAGTTTCCATAACTACTACGGACGACGCTAAATCAGTTCTTGTGTGTCGCTTATCATAATAAGACAAAACTAGCAGATCCTTCCAGTAATTGACTGCACTCATAACTTGTAAAGGGGATCAGTTGTATGTACAAAGTTAACTTATATTATTGACGATATTAACATATTTTGTCTGTTATTAAATAGTTTGATCTCGTCTATATCTGGTATATCTATAAAATTGTGTTATTTTACACATCGATTTATACGATATAGTTTCGCGATTATTTATAATATATAATATATATTATAATATATATTATAATATAATATATATT